CTGTCTCTGTCAGTCGTCAATAGGATAAAGGAGTCTATTTCAGCACCACGAACCGTGTAAAAACACGAAATGCCTCAACTTGACGGTGATTTCAAGCAGAACACTTGTCGGTGTCAAGTGTTTTAGGAGTGGTGAAATCCAAGTTTCCTTGGTTCTATTATCAGTAAGAAATAGGAGGAGCGAGTAGAAACAGATAAAAAAAAAACCTGGTCCCGGGCCGGGGTTCGAACCCACAACCAAACCCAGGCATCAGTACACATGCCGACGCTCTAACGATTCGGCTAAAAGGTCTAGACCCATTTTGAGGGGTCAGATTGTTCATGCTTCGGTGGAATCCGGATCCAATGCGCTTCCACCGGCTTGGTCTGAACAGGGCCAAAACATCATCGTTCAGCGGGCGGCTACCTCAAAGGCGTACCAACCGTTTGCGGAATTTTCTCATGTTGATTGACTCCCCGGAGCTTGTGACACGGCAGACCAATTCTCCCAAGTAATCAGCAAAACATTACGAACTAGAGTTCCACGACCTCATACCTTTGTCAAATGATGTTAATCTTTATGTCCACAACACGAGATACCATACCCATGCACCCTGCTGCAGTATCTTACAAAACCGCTAGAGTACCAAAAATTGACATTGACCTTCCTTTTCCCAACCTCATCCTACCTACCAAATATCATAAAGATACATGCACCACACCCCAAGTTATAGCCGATTACAAAATCAGCAACCCCTATGTATGGTGTACCTAGCTCGAAGCCGGATCAACGCGAATCAATTCGGCTCGATCCGGACAATTTCCAGGGGTGCCAGACAGCCAGAGTATACAGTGCAATTTTACGGTATACAGTGCAAGTTTACTAGTATACAGTGCAATTTTACGGTATACAGTGCAAGTTTACTAGTATACAGTGCAATTTTACGGTATACAGTGCAAGTTTACTAGTATACAGTGCAATTTTACGGTATACAGTGCAAGTTTACTAGTATACAGTGTAATTTTACGGAATGCAGTGCAATTTTACTAATGACGTTGAATGACGTAACCTGGGCCCGGCTTTCCAGGGGCGCCGCTGACGGAGCGTACTCACGTCTCTCTGTGTTATTCGAGCGAATTTGGACCTTTCTCATGGATAGACCTTTAGTCAAATCACTACATACTACACACGTTACTACACAGGGATCATTTCGAATTCGCTCGAAAAAAGACAGAAATATGTGAGTCAGCGGCGTCCGCCATCTTGAAACTGAGA